TCTCAGAAGTTAGTTAACAGCTTTCCTAAGTTGTTTAAGGAACTGTACACTCGACATCACCACTGCACAGACAAACACTCGGGTCATAAGTTCTGTCATTTTGTATACAAAAACACAATGAAAAGCCAGGAAAAAATAACTCCACCTTTAATGCGGAACAGAACTCTATTTTTGCCCAAGCCTTTGACAGAGTCACGTGTACTGCAAAACTTTGCCTCTTCGACAGATTCCATAACAGGCACAAAAGCTTAACCATACTAACACTGCAACTTTCATACAAACAGACTACGCAATCTTCTTTTTTTTTTTTAAATATGTCACAAGTAGCCAAGTGAAAAGAACTTCCCGCAAGTCCTAATGCTTGCGTTAAACACATAATTAGGCCGAAGCACTTACTCCTGCAGCCATTTTTTCCCAAACAGTCAGAATCAGTTGCCTTTAACACTAAATACTTGACTTTTACCTTAAAATAATAAATGCAACTCCACCTTCAGCTATTAAAGTGTAACTGAAATATAAGTGATATGTTGCAAAAGAACGATTATTGAATCAAATACGTTTTAAACTATTCCCAAGCTAACACTACTAATTAGATGCCTGACAAAGACGTTCTAACGTAAGTTTTGAGAAATAATATTCCAAAAATCTCAAGGAAAAATAACTGTCATTACAAAACAGCTGCCAATTGAATGTTTAAAACTGAACAAACGCTTCGCCAAAAATCAAGCAGGTCACTTACTACGCAGAAGCTCCTTTCCTCTTCTATGGCTTCACCTTACCGAGCAGCTACCACTACTGAGATCACAAGCAAAAAATATGTACAATGGCAATTAAAAAGTTGTAGGCAGCTCTGTCTTCAGGACAAAAGATATTTTAACTATACTCACAGCTGCAATCAAAATTACACAAAAGCTGTCATAATACCAAAATCGGCGCAACCACAAGCCGACACTCTAACAGTACATTGAAAGAAAAGGCTTGTGGTACATAACTTTATACGCCTTAAAAACCACATGTCAATTGCTTTTGAACAAACTTTCAATAAATGTTGACAAAAAACCCTAAAATAGTGAAACGCAACTCTGAACTTCATGATGTTCATGCAACTCAGAGACAGCAACAAAAGAAATGAAGACATACCGCATCGCTCTTCGGAAAAATTATCACAATAAGATTTTACACTTTGAGATTGCAGCATAACTTAACAATCACGCGTAATTTCTCCTGTTGAATTTCCCATGTAAAAGCCCATAAACGAACAAAGACCGTAACTTGGCTCTTCACATTGCACTGCAGGTCTACTACAATATTTATCACAAGTGGAAAGTGAAAAATCGCTAAAGAAAGCAACTATTCACAAATTAGACGAAAAGAATAAACTTTCGGCTCCAGCTACCCTACACATCCCACGACTCACATAAGCATAAAACGGCAACAAAAGGATAAGAAACTGGGAAAACCATATTCATGTACGCCCACAGTGTTAGCATTTATTTGCCTCTGAATGGCAAAATTTATTTCTAAATGCGTATCCAAGATGAGTTTTCACACAAACGCTGCCACCGTAAAACCTAATTCATGATCTGAGGAAAGTACGAACGAAAGCACTTTGAACACCTGAACCACCAACTTCATACCAAAAAACAAACGCAAAAAAGTACCCTACACTCAACCCTCCAGTTAGAAGTCATGACCCAGCAGGGAACTACTCCTATAAATCAAGGTACTGAGATATACTGACCATGAAATGCAAAAAGATCAAACCTTTCTCAATCAGTTTTAAATTTATTATTTCCAAATAATCTACAATAATCTGAAAAGCTCCTTACAACTATCTTAACAGAAAACTAACTTTGAAAAAACAAAGTCCTCTAATACAAACATTCCATTTCACTTGTTCGTATAACAACTTTACATCCTTTCGACTAAACAATAAGAGTGGGTGACTTTTTGCTAATTACACGTACACAGGTCAAATGTTTACAGATGACGAACAAAGCTCTAGAATGAGTAGAATTCAACGATGGAATCACAGACCTATGAAAGTGCCAATAGAAATCATGCACTACTTGAATGTGATTATAACGCCCACACCATTTCAAAGGCTTTTGTGAGGCCAACGTCATTCTGATTGAAAACAAGCAGACCAGCTAACAAACACGCCGTTATCACATAAGCACCCACCCTAACAGCCTTAGCAAGAGTGTCACCCAAAACATATGGTCGACCATAATCCTAAACAAATCTAAATTTGTAAAAAAATTTTTGTCAGTTAAAATAATAAAACGAAGTAAAAGAATAAGGCAAAAGTAAAAAAATCACAACATTTACAACCAAAAGAGAAACAGAACCACATGAGCTCCGCCCAACTTAAAAAACTAAGTTAAAGACCAAAACTTATTCGAAAATTTAGTAAAGTGATCTCCTGCAAACTCATTTAGGAACTTACTCCTATAACACCTCGTACACCCCAATGAATATGAAGTGTAAGTGCCACGGCTAAAACTGTATCCATCCACGGCGTGTGAATGAAGTATGCGGCTGGAAACAATGGCACCATTGCAGCTGCGAAATACCTTTCAATCTTGAACATGAATGCATGACTGTGTAATGGTTTAAACTCTTTCTGAGCTCTGAAATTAAGAACCATAAAACATACTATTGACCATAAACAAAGCAATAAAAGTGCAAACTGATATTAGAAGAGCCAACAACTGGTTGGACTTCAGGAGAAATTAATGATGGAATTCAGAAAATCCCCCAACAACAAAACCTAATTCGATCAAAGACATTT